CCCCCCCATTTCCCTTTTCTTTGAAAAACTAAAAAGAAAAAAGGGGCCCCCAACCCTGGGGGGGTTTTGGCCCCCCCCCCGGGTGGGGGGGGTTCCAGGTTAACCCCCCCCCCCCCCCCCCCCCGCTTGGCTCCCGTTCCAAAATCAGGCGAGAAAACGAAGAGGAACCAAACTTCTCGCCCTGCTACAACGGGCCAAGAGTACCGGGGCTCCGCTGGGGGGTATCCTGCGGAAGCTGTCGGAGTTGCGAAGCCTGCAGTTTCGGCACGACCCTTGGCACGACGCCGGTGCCCGCGAGAGGCAAGCCAGGGTCCCCGCCGCCTCCCGGATTGCAGCCGAGGAGGAGAGGGCGTGGGTCCGGCAGATATTCTCCGACCTGGGGAGGGGCGTGTCGGCCGGAGTCGGCGGTGGTAGCGAGGCTCCTCCTTCCCCTTCCACCTCGCGCGGCGGCGGCAGTGGCGGCGGCAGCAGGGGCGGGGGCGGCGACGGCGGCGACGGCAGCGGCGGTGGCGGTGGCGGTGGTGGCGGTGACGGTGACGGCAGTGTTGACGCGGGTTCGTCTGCGCCCGTTGGCAAGGGTCGCGGCCGGACACGCTCGAGCACCCCGGAGCTTCGCGAAGTCTCTAGCTCTAGCCCGACCCCGGTAGAAGTGCCGGGTCCGTCGTTGGTACCCGGGCAGGGGTGGCGGCGGCGACGGTCTGCGACGGTCGGCGGCGGCGACGCTACGTGTCTCCAACTCACGGCCAAGCGCCGTGCCAGTCCCAGGACTTCTGCGGCGGCGACCTCTCCGGTCGGTCTTGGGCCTGTTGCCGGCTTACCCGGCACAGACGAAGGCGGTGGGAGCGGTGACGATAGCGCCCATCGCCCAACCACAGCAGCAGCACCACCAGCTGGTGTTGCCGGGGCAACCGTGAAGGCGGTCAAGCCGGCCTTGGCAGAAGTCTACTTGTCGCCTGCGCGCGTGAAGTCGCCGATCAGCCGCTGCTACGGAGCGGCGGCGTCGTCGTCCTCCAGTCGACGTCATCGCCACCACCTCCAGAGGGCATCCACCGTTCCGTCTCCAACCCGCACCGTCACCCTCGCCTCCGCGATCAGCGCCGAAGCCGTGTCTGTTGGCGCTGCTGCAGGTGCGATCAGCCCCACTAGCAGAGCTCGCGCTGCTGGTTCTCGGCGCTCTTCGTCGATGGAGGTAGGAGGTAGCGGCGATGGCGGAGGCGCCGTGGTCCCGGAAGCCCGGGATTGTACCCGTGACCGCTGCCAAGAGCCGACCGCCGATCAGCTGAACGACCCGGTCTTTCGCGGAAGGATGAAGGCGAGAACGAGGGCCGCGAAAGCAGCAGCCGCCGCAGCAACGGCAAGCATCGGCGGCAACCCTGCCAGTGGGAATGGCGGTGGTTCCGCACTAACAGGCGCAAGGTGTCAACCCGACAAGAGAATCCATCAGGTCGGATGGGTGGACGACGTCGGTCGAGGGCTGCAGGGGAAACGCGGCGGTGGCGGCGGCGTCGAACAGCGCCAAGCAGTGGGGTTCAACGGGTGGATGTCGTCTCGACGGCAGGATTGGGGCCTGGATGACGTCGGCCTCCCGGCCGCACAGTCCCGCGGCGTCGGTTCCGCCGCACCTTCGGCATCGCGTCTTTCGCGCTCCAAAACTGCGCCTTCGCCTTCCAAGTCGGGAGGAGGAGCAGCATCGCCACCGCAGCCGCCGCCGCCACCCGCCCCTGCTGCTAGAGCGAAACCGACTGCGGAACGTTTGACTGGTCCTTCGCTAGGCGGCAAGAGCGGCGGAGCGAGAGCGTCAGCGGCGGTCGGGTTCGCCGGCGGCAGGGGCGCAAAGAGGGGGGCTGACGGTGGCAGTAGCGGCGGCGGCGATGGTGGCAGCGGTTGCGGGTGTAACGGCGGCACTAGGCCGCGGAGTATTGGCGTGGGCCCGCGGTCACACGCGAAAAAGAAGAGTCGAGGTAACAAGGAGGGCGTAGGAGAGGATGCCGGGGCTGTGGCAGCGATACCGGCTGTGCCGGCTGCCGCGGTGGGTTCAGCGGACTCGACACGGGCTGACAAAACTTTGACGTCGTCGCCGTCTCCCAGGCAGCGGAAGAAGACCAGCGGGTCGGTTCGGTGCCGTGAGGTATCGCACGAAGGAGGACGCGGAATACCTGCAAAGAAGTGCTGCCGTCAGCAGCGCGCTAGAAGCTCAGCAGCGGCGGTGGCGGTGTCACCCGTCACGTCTGCGGCACGCCAGCACCACCGGAGCCACGGTCCTAGAGGAGAGAAGATGCTCCGACAAGCAAGCGTCCAGGCGGCAGGCACCGCCGCCGCCGCTCCCACTCCCACCACAGAGAATGTTCGAGATTCTCCCGCCGCGGCCGCTGCCGCCACCGCTGCCGGCAGGATTGGGCCCTTTTTCGGGCTCAGCTTGGTGCTGGTGGGGCTCCCCGACGATGTCCACCGGGAGGTCGACCGCACGATTGTCGCCTGCGGCGGCCGAGTCTTGGAGGACTTGCCGCCGCCGAAAACACGGGGGGGGCTTGCGTTGCGACGGCCCGCCGCCGGTGCAGAGGTTGTCGTGGCCGCGGCCGATGCCTCTCGCCGGGGACGGAAGAGGGACATAGTCACCGCGGCAGCGTCGGCGGAGGGAAAGGAAGATGTCGTGGTTGTCGTGTCCGTGCCGTCGGCGTCTCGATTGCCGAGGTACGTGCTTGCCATCGCGACGGGGACCCCGCTGCTCCACCACCTCTGGGTCAGCGACAGCGCGGCGGAAGCGCGGCCCCTCCCGGCCTCGCCGTACCTCTTGCCGGGGGCGCGGGAGGCTTCCAGGAGGCGGCAAGCCGCTTCTTCGGCCGGCACCGCCGCTGCAGGCATGACGACGGCGGCGGCAAAGGCCGGCGGCGGCCACAAGGCGTCGCACGTTGCCCTGGCGAAAGCGGTCTCCAAGACGGGGACCCCGCTGATGGGGATGGCTATCGGAGTCGCCCACCCGTCCCCGACGACGTGCGAGCGCTGGGCGCAGGTCCTCAGGGCGGCCGGGGCGCAGACCGTGCTGCGGGTCACCGGTGATCCCCTCCTTGTTCTTCTTGCCCCCCGGGAGGAGACCGCCGTCGGGACGCGGACTAGTAGTCCGTCGAGGGGCACCTGGTCCTGCAGCCGAGGGAGGAGGACGGCGGGGGCGTCGTCATCGTCGTCGTCGTCGCTACAGGCGGAGCAGCTGGCGGGCCTTGACTGCGTGCTGTGCGATTTTCCGGGCGCGTGGAACGGTTCAGGCGGCGGCGACGACGGCGAGTGTCGTGCTGCCACCGGGCGGCGACCGGTGAGGGGCAACGGCGGCGTCCCCGCGATCGCAGGCACCACCACCAAGAAGGCCAAGTCTTTGCCGCCCCCTTTATCTTCGCTTGGGCTCTTGTTTGAGGCCGCTAAGCTTGAGGGGGTGCCCGTGGTCGCGCTATCCTGGGCGATGGACTGCGTGATCCGGGGCACCCGAGTGAGGCAGCAGGCGCGCCCGGAGTACCTGACGCCGTTTCTGGATGCCTCGGCGGCGGCAATTCGGCCGTCCTCGCGCTCGCAGTCGCTCGCGGGGGGTACCGGTACCCGCTTGCTTGTGGCCGTGTCGCGGAACGGCACTCGCTATGAGGTCAGCGATCACGTCTACTTTTCTGCGGCCGGAAGGGGGAGGGGTGGAGGCGGCTGTACCGGCGGCGGCGGAAGTGGCGGGCCTAACGGCGGGGACGAACGGCGCCAGCAGCAAGCGGCGGTGGGGCGCATCGTCCACCTGGAGCGAGCCGGGGGCAGCGGCGGCCGAGTGTTCGCGACCATCGAGCCGCTGCAGATACCCGACAACAAGCACGCGGTTGTTTCGTCCCTCAGTGACAGCGGTGGCAGGGCCGCCGGCGGCGGGAGCGGCGCATTGGGCGGAGGCGTTCTGCACGGCGTCGTTCGCGGGGGTGGTGGTTATTTCGCGAGCCCGTCGGCGGACAGCTCCGTCTCCAGGGGCAGGGCGAGGCGCGCGAGAGAGCTCAAGAAGGTCGTGCTCGCGGAGAAGAAGGGAGGCACCGCCGCCGCCGCTGGTACGCGCATCCCCGGCAGGCAGAACTGGCAGAAGGTGGAGGTTTCCGACGCGTTCCTGCTGGGGAAGATGTCGGTGCTCTCGGCGCGGGAGTTCGACTCGCGGAGGGGGTACTGCGGCCGGGACCCAGACGTGTACGTCCAGCAGCAGCGGGTGCCCACGGCCCGGGGTCCCCCCAACTTGCGGACGGGAAAGTAGGGAGGCAGAGACTACTTGCTGTTCGCCGTGCTCTATTTTAGGTATGGAGTATACCGCTGCTAGGAACGTGCTTACTTCTCGTGGTGGTGTTGTTTGTGTGTAGGTGTTGTGGTGTTTGTTTGGCGTACTTGTTCATGTGGTCGCCTATGGGTGTTGGTGTTTGTGTGTAGGTGTTGTTGTGTTTGTTTGGCGTACTTGTTCATGTGGTCGCCTACGGGGCATAGATAAGCCCGGAGGAGGCGGGCGATTTGAGAGATGCATTTCGGCAGTGCTACCAGTAACTCATTCGGTACGATATTTGAAGTATGCCGCTGCGGGAATGTATCTGCCGAAGGCTTCAGGCCGCCCTGTTTTTTGTTTTATATTCCGACGGTGTCATCTTGCGCGTGCTGTACCTGCCTGTGGTGCCCTCGTTTAAAATATTTGGAAGGACCGAACTACACTTCGTATCTGTGCCATTAGGCTAACTAATCTGTTGCGATACTTGTAGCGCAAGGGACTCGGGAAGGGGACACGCTGCCGTGTAGCAGTACTGTAGTATCAGCACTTATGTTTTCCTCGGCGGGGTCACCTCATCTTAACGTCATGAGGTAGGTCAAGAATATTCGTGGGATCACACAGCAGTCACCATTCTTGGCACACAGCAATCATGAATCATCGGCTCCATGACGGTGTAGCCCAGGTTTGGTGTAGGTGACAGCACACACGCCCTGCAGAGGTAGCACGGACATTGTATGCCAGGTTCATCACGAGCTTGCCAGTTGGAGTGGCTCCCAGTGAGTGCGGTCCATTCAATCTTCGAGCCGCTCGCTTTGAATATGTACATGCACTCGTTTGTCCCGCCTGATTTCTTTGGTTCATCATTCTTGTTTCCTGCAATGTTTCATGCGACAAACTCAGATTGCATTGCTTGTCTCACTGCCGACCAAGGGCCGGAGCAAAAGAAAATCACCACAATACTCTTGCAGCACATAACCGGGTTGTACCTATTCTACAATCCATGCGCCCAAGCAAAAGCAAGCCAACTGCACGTGACCCTTGCGCTTTGGCCCGAAATGCAACATCAACCAGGCAGGCAGAAGGAGCCCGCAGCCACCCCCCCGACAATCCTTGAGATAGAATCAAGAACCGACACAAGCTGGAACCATAATGCTCCTCTCGCCGCAACCCTGCTCAGCGAGAAGCGAGAGATGTAAAAAAACACACATCGGCCCGATTGGCCCGACATAAAAAGCACGCAAACCGGGCTATAACAGGGAAAAAGTCGTTGATCGCGGAAATAATCTAGTTGTGCATGGGCTTGAGTTTCGCCGTTCATGAGAATGCACCATCGGGGATAGGCAACAAGGGCCTCTAAAGTACGAAGTACATAGTAATTCGTGCCACATTCGTCGAAAACATACCCACTAGTGGACCCAAGCCATAGTTGTACAACTGTTCTGTTTCCACGGCTTGACGGTAAACCGCATCATCTAAGGCGGGGCAAAGGGTCGGATGAACCGACACCTCGCTCAACGCCTTCGAGAGCAAGTTTACTGCCAAGAACAACAACAACCTGCTGCCGCTCTAGTTGCCGGCGGAGAAGCCCTGTCCCCCCTCCCCTCCCCCGGACATGCCGTTCGATCCGTTGTCGGCATTGCTGCCATCTCCCTCTCCCTCTCCCACCAGCTTCTTCTTCTTCTTTGACTTGCCTCCGCGTTTTCCTCTCCTGGTCTTCCTGCCCTCCGCCTCTTCCTCCTTCTCCTGCGGCGGCTCCGAGGGTTTGCCGCCCGCCTTCTCCTCCCCTTCTCCTTGTCGTCGCCCCCCCAGTCTGCCTTGGGTCGCTTGGTTCCGACCTTCCAACTGACGAAGAAATCGCTGAAGTTGGGCTCTTCGCCCCACACCGTGGTGGACTCCTCCGCTCTCTCGTTCATCTCGTACAGGACCTTCTGCAACTTGCGCGGAGTCACGACTTTGTTCTGGGCCGTCAGGTCCCGGCTGAGAAGATGGCGAGAATAGCAGGGGAC